ATGCTCTTTTTTGTTGTGTGTGTGTGTGTGTGTGTGTGTGTGTGTGTGTGTGTGTGAAGACTTGTTGCACATACCTTTCCATTTGGGGAACTCTTCTTAAAAACTCTATAAGAAAAGAAAAAAAAATTGAACACTTTGCTTTTCAAGTGCTTCATTCTTTAGTTTCTAAACAAGCATAATTTATATACAAACTTTACAAATTTTGTAAAGCTTGTCCAATTTTTCTGTGGAGTTTTATGTATAATAAAACATCTTTTATTAAAAATACCACACTCACTAAAGCAAGGGCAATATAAACTGATCAAGTATACTGCATGTTGCACAGTTTCTATGTAACTGTTTATGTGACTAAGCATACCCGTATTACAGGTCTCAGAAACGTGAACCAGTTAAATCTATTTATGATGAACTGTTGTTTGTAAAGTAAGTATGACATGTATTCCATAAATTATATTTACACTTGTTATGACATCACAGGGTACTGATTACTTATAACAAGTTAATATTAATCCTACAACTAATCTCCACATTTGCCACCGATCCTATCTAAAGAATTCCCCGATGTTTTTAGAATCCAATTTTTAAGAAGATTGGATCAGAAAATATGCAGTATATCCAAGCAACTTTGTGATGGAGAGAGCATAATATATCCCAAAATAAGGTCAACCACACAGAAGTGAAAATAAATATTGGTGACCATCAGTTCAGGTCATGACCTGATATATATTAACTGCTTCATAATTTTTTTTTACAAAGATAAATGTATTTTCAACATAGTTTTATTTGTCATAAAATATCCTAGCATTACTCAAAAATTGCCCTTATTTCTGATATTCGTAACTATTGTTCAACTTCCCCCACCCCTTCTGTTTTCATTGAAGGGAGGTTTGGTATAGGGCTAATGTTGATAAAGAAATACTACATGGATATGATTTATGACACTTTGCAGTTTACTTAAGATTCATGGGCCAACATTCCACTAGCATTTGTCAGTATGTCTTGTCCACATTTTCTTTCAATTGTTAGTCTAACGAAGAGACTCATAACATGAATCCACTGACGTAGTCAGATAATGTGTGCACTGTCTTATTAGGTGTTGCATAATATTAAAGCAGGGATAAGTGGAAAGGGTTTGAACCTGTAGACTGTCCCAGAGATGAATGTACCAATATTTACCACATTTAAACAAGACACACTATGTGTTTAATATTATGTTGAAATTTCATCAGATGTACACATTTTTATTCCGATCCCGATGTCGGACAAGCTTGGGTGCATCAACACTGATCCAATATTTCACTTAAGTTGCAGGCTTAGTTAATATGGTTCGTTTTTAAGCATGTTGACACTAATGAATATTTCTTAAACTTCAAAATGTCTAGCCCTTTCCTTTTTATCAGAAGATGTTTATATGACAAAATGATTTTTTTTATTTTTGGAAATTCACACAAACCTACACAAAGGTTAGCTAGTAACCGTCCCTAACTTTAAATTGAAAGACTAAAAGAAATCGGCTAGTCAAAAGCACCCACCACACATTTTTGGGCTACTCTAACTAAATCATGGGATTTTACCATCACTCTTATAATGCACTCACAGCCGTAAAGTGAAAAACATGGTTCTGTAACATTTAGATACAAACCACAGACTTTCAGATCCACAGCTTGACATGCAATCTACAAAATCATCACCAGACTATACCAAAATGAACATTGTCTACATTGTTTAAAAATTTTGGAGAATTTGAACGATGCTTAATAATCTCAACAAGAACTCTACAAGAAACATTTCTAACAATTCTTTTGACCTGCAAAACCAAACCATGGACTCTTGGATTGACAGATATAGTAGTGGTTGTGATGCTGATTATATTATTAAATTACTGAACAACTATTACAATGTGCACTATATTAAATTGATGAAGAGTAATTTTTATTTAAGTCATATGAATCTTTAACACAATAGTAATTCATTACTCTTAAGATCAAACTGTTTTGTTTTTTTATTATTATTATTAATTTATTTATTTTACTTGATATATCCCACTCATCATTCGGAACTAGTGAACCACAGCACCAAACGGAGAAGTCTATAACTGTGGTCTTTTTGACATGTTCATATCCCAATACTATAATTGATTTTGACTTCATTAATTTTGCATCATCAAGCTCACAATGTGTTTTCATTAGTGTTATTATTTTTTCAACCACTGAAACAAAAACAAAATACACAGGTGAAGGATGCTACATAAAAGAAAAAAATGGATAGAGATCATCTTGAAATAGATTAGTGTACAGTTATTTATTTCAAAACCTAAGTACTATCTCATATTAAACCAGCATTAAAATTTGGCTTACGGATAAAACAAAATACAAAGGTTTAGCGGTAGCATTTTTTTGTTCTTATTGCAAGAATGACTAATATAGGTGTAAGGTTTCTAGTCATATTTCAATATGATATTCCACTGGTTAAGAGACAAATAATTAGTGTCACTAATATGCAGTACACGTTGTGTTCCATCTACATTAACTTATACAAGTGTGTCATTAATTAAAATGATGCTATGATATACACTTACAGTTGCTGAAGTATATGTATATGACGATTAGCAGTCTAACTACTGATGATTTTAAAGACTTATGATCAGTAATGATTCAAAAGTAAGATAGTGCCTGTCTTTATCTGAAACACAAGTAATTTCATCTGAAATGTACTACATTCAGGTGCTCACAAAATATAACCAACACATACACAGATATCTACAATGCATCCATAAATGTAATGTTGATCCAAAACGTGTTTTACTAATGAAATATGAACCATTATTACACAAATGACATTGATATATAAAAATTAATTTAATATACTGCACTAAGAACACATTCATCTTAGTTTTGCTTGTAACTCATAACAAGCATCATTTTATTATGTGCATATGAAAGTCATGGACTCTTTTTCTTGTCGTTTTGCAACACACACACATTAACTCTTTAAAATGTGAACACCTGGTTAAAAAGTTTCTCTAACTATCAAAATGGTTTACAAAAACTTTGACTTTTATATTATTAAATGTGAGAAAAAAAAAGATACTCTTTTTAATACATTATTTCCTTTGGTCATATTATCTGCAAAGTATCCAGGGGTGATTAATTTGATAGTTTTGTAAATATGCTTACATACATTTCCAATATAGTTTTAATAGTATTGGTATTTTCAATCTTAAAGTTACTTTATAAAAAACATTCTAAACAAACAAATTAGAGAATCCTAAGGTTTAGGTAACAGCCACCCATAAATAAATACTGACAAGAGGGAGGGTAACCAGGGAGCAGCAACCACTGTCTAATATGCAATTATTCTTCACCAAACAACAGAACAACCTGCCACAGTTATAGTCATCCATACAGCTGTAAATACAAGCCATGATCAGCAGCATATCCAATCCATAACCCTGTACGCTGAATGCTACACCACACCATTTTTTTCTTTTTAATGCGGCCTACATAAATATTTCATGGGATTGATAAGCACCATTCTGTTTTCTCCCACCAAATATATATCTGAGAAGTATATATTCAAATACATATTTAATTATGAGACTAATAAATGAAAATTAAAAAAAAATGTTCAGTATTGTATAAATTTTATAAACTCATAATAAATCTAAGAACAAAATAAGATACCAGTATAATTTTGTTACACTACTATTTACAATACACAAATGAGGTTGCATTAAAAACACAGTATCATAATCAATACCCGAATACAAACATCATGTTTACTGTTTGACTCAAATTTACAATGAATTGTAACAATTAAAACAATTTAAAATCAAACAGAGATTGGTTAGATTATATTTAGCTAATACACAAGTTTAAATTAGGTACACATATATAGACACAGTGTAATACCAACTCACCAAATAAATACTTCCACTATTTACTGTTTCTTTTTGATGTTCTTCACTTTAGCATTCTGAGCGTTAAGGATAAAGCACAATGGATTGGTATTACACAACAGCCGTCACAGCATTCTATCTAATTAAGCATTTGAATTCCTCTTACCTCTACCAGTTCTGAGTTAGCTACAAGTTTTTGGTGAAAAGTGAGAAATTAACAACTCCTTGTAATACATACCTTGTACCTGGACGTTTACTCTGTTCTTCACTTTCATCATTCTCCATCTCCAACCCTCCCATAAGATGAATATCAGATGCTACCACTAGACAGGTTTGGTTGAATAACTGTTAAGACTTCAGAAAAATGCTCTTCGTGAAACTAAGATTCCCTCTGATAATATTGAATATTTTAAACAGTATTTCTGTAAAAGAAAAATACAACTTGTAACTTAAAACTTACTTTCTGATTGTATAAAAGCCACTGTGTGTCGCAACACGCTTGATTACTCAAAATATGAGGAGTCATAAAAGCCGAAATGTATTTATCCAGATAGAATAGTTTGATTACTGTCTGCTTATTACAATTTTAGTGACGAAGGTGCAAGGGGGCCATGAGGGAGGGGGTTGCTGTGAAACCTTATAAGTATAGTGAGTGTTGGTATAATAAGCCTAAAGTAAAGAGAGTGTGGGATCACCTAGCCTAGAGACAAGTGCATAAGATATATAATGAAAGTAAAAATATTGATTAAATTTTAAACTTAAATAATTTCTGAATTAAGCTATTTTCTATTATATCACCTATGTTTTAAATAAAAACAAATCTCTTTAATCAACAAATATTCTATGTTAAGAATTTAACAAATATTCTATGTTAAGAATTTAACAAATATTTTTCATTTTATACTTTCAGTACATAGACTAACAACAATATTAGGTTATATTTTTGTTGCTAAGGAACATGACATAAAAACCATTGTTGGAACTTAGTGTTACCAAAATGTACTGGCTTTTCTATATATTAGCAGTTGTTAATCTAACTGATTTTTACCAATAATTACTCTATGAATATGCCACAAATTCATTTCATGAATGATCTTAATTTTGATTGGCTCACAAAGGAATTTACCCACATTTGAATGCCTCAACTGCACTTTTCTGCCTCTTTATTGGTCAAGCTTGATTTCGCAAAATTTATTTATCTCAGTTAACTATGAAATGTGAGGTTATGGTATATTATGGGGTGGGAGTGTTAGTATTTGCCCCATCATTTTGGATCGACTATACTCTAGTGATCATATAGATGGCACATTTTACTAAGCCACTGTCATTTTGAAAGTACTTGAAATATTTTTAAACTTCCATATCAGGCAGGCAGTAGCATTGCCTATGTAGGGATGGCTTGGATTTTTCATTGAAATGGTATTTTAAATATCTCCTCAATAGGTCATCAGAACTTTACAATAGTATACAGTGTTTCTTTTTATAACAATATATATGTGTAATGACTAAGTCCCAAGTTTTTGGAATGTCTGTAAACATCATAGCAAAAAAGTTTGAATATCCTGCTCTTTTTTATTACATGATAACTCAAAAAATAAAACAATGGTGTCAACAAATTTCACTGAGGTGATGTAGTTTCAAATGGAGTATCCACTTTTATAAGTATTATTAATAACTACTTGTGATTAAAAAAATTATAATTCTAGTGTAAACAATGTTATCATTACACATTGCAGTTAGCTTTCTTACAAAAATTTGTTGTTCCTTTAAAAGCTTAAGAACAGGGTGAAACAGGAATAAACAATACATATTACAGTTGGAATCTCATTGTATTTATAACCAAGTTCTAAATACAATCTTCCTTCATCTATTGAAACACTGCATTAAAAAAAAGAAGGAAACAAGTAAAGAAAAACTTTAAGATAAGGAAGTATACGTAGGGATGGCTAATATCAAAACTTCAAAAACAATGCAAACAAGATAGTAGGGATGGCATTTGCATCATCCCTACATAGCTGAGTTTAACTTATCTTATTTTTGTCTGTTAACATTCTACTACATTGTTTGCCTGTGCTATTATGTAGGGATGATTCAAATGCCATCCCTACTATCTTGTTTGCATTGTTTTTTGAAGGATTGATATTAGCCATCCTACATTTACTTCCTTTTTTTGAAAACTTTTATTTACTTGTACGTTATTAGTTTCCAAGTACAAATGACAAAATATATCATTATTGTATGAACACTATCTGTTTTAACTAATTCCTTCTTTCTTCTTACTTTATTTATATTCTGAAGTCATGAAACCAATGGCAATTTTCACAATGATATTAACTCTTATGAAAATACATATTTTATTTACACATAATGTGTTGCCGTGTCTTCATACATTATACCCCTGATGTTCTTCCTACTGTAATAATATCCTACCTCTCTGATATTCCTTTACTTTCTAATTCATACATTTTCCTTTTTTTTTTTCGTACCAGTCTTCTTTACCTTCTACTGTATTCTATCTTACCAATCTTCCTTACTTCCAACTTGTACTTTTGTTTTCCAAGTTCTACCTTTATGAATCACTTTGTAATTCCTATTTAATTCTTTATGATGTTTAATTATTTACATCCTGTTTTATAACTCTTACAGTTGAGTATTACCTGTTATAAGAAACAACTGCTGTAAAGTTAGTTGTATCTCATGCTCCATTTTTTTTATCTTTTTTAATTGGATTGGATTTATTGACATATACGATTTAAGATAAGAACAGAAAAACTATATATCAGAAACAAATTATTTAAGTAGATTACTTTTTCAAACTTTGGCAATAAGGGAAATTAATTAATAATTATCTTCACAAGATTAGTCTTGTACAAAATAATGAATAGACACTAGATACCCAATTAATGTGACTGGTATTTTGTAAGTTTTAAAGACAATGAATACATATTAGAAATACAATGATGAATGTTTTTAAATAAAAACCATTATAAAGATAATCCACAGTATAAATCTTCTACTGGAGTTAATTGTTAACAGATAACAAGAATTTGTTTTGAATAAAACAGTCTATACAACTTTCATTTTCTATGTGTATATTAGATAGTGCAATACATCTGTTACAAAAGAAAAGCTGTTTAAGTTGCACATTTGAGTTGTACTATCTAATGCTTTCATGATACTTGATATAAAACCACTGTATATATATCAAACTTACGCAGTACAATTATCATTCAAATAGCTTTTACTGGTATATGTTTCACAAAGAAAAAGCAGCACCATATATTGATATTAAAATCAGTCAACAAAGGGCTTGAGAGCAAAACCTATGCAAATCACACACACACATTGAGTTGAATGTTGAACTTTGAATAGCTGATTCTATTATGTATGCAGATGGTAAAGCTCAATGTTCTTGACGAATACTTATGCCTCTAACAACCTAGAAAAGCTATGCAAGGTTGTTTAAAATGGATGTCATGATATAAAAGACTGTTTCGTTTTGATATTAGTGATTAATTTATTTTTTGTGAGTGAATATTTTATTATTGTTTAGTATTTGTTAAAAGCAGACAATTGTAGAACGTTTTGTTAATAATTCATTGATGTTGAGAATATAGAATGTGGACAGAGGATTAAGTGATAAAGATATAAATAGCCTGAGATGAGCAGGAAGCAGTAGACAGATAATAGCAAAAGAGAATAAAGTTGGTTTGAAGTTAACTACTGTAGAAGTGACAGGCCTAACAACTGACATAAGCCTAACATTTAATATGTTAGAATGAAACTAACAGTAGAAACAAAGATAAGAAAAATAATTTTATTCCGTCAAAGCGTGGTTATAAAGTAACTGAATGAGCCTGGGTACACTTTGACAAAAGGTACAGAGGATCTTCAAAAGAAAGAAAACCAAACGATTACAGTAACTCACACCACAATTGTAAGTCAATCACACAGTGTGCTAGTACAATAGAAATAGAGAAGATAGTTCAGCTTGTCAACTGAAATTCTAAAGTAATTGAATAGGCCTAAGTGGATATTCGACAAAAAGGAGAGGCCTACATAATAGTATTTATGAGATGTCCATAATATCTATAGTGTTGAATAATTTATTGTACATATGTTAACGTATACATTATTCTGAAAACAAGTGAAGTGCATGCTGTTTATTCATTGTTGAAGTTATCGCTAACAAGTCACAGACACCTACTGTAGAATAATCCTAAGCCCAACAACAACATAGTATATATATATATTTATACTATTAAGAAATATAATTAAAAGCCTTTTTATTTTGACAATTGACAAAGATCAGATTTTAAAATTCTGACAATGGAATTGCCTTAAATCCTGCAGACAGAAAAGGCCAAATTTTGATGTTTCATGTACATATCTAAGATGGTCAGTTCAAGTAATATTTAGCTTGTTACATATAGTAGTTCAAGATATTAACAGCGCTCCACATTATTAAACATTGGAACTTAGAGCCAAAAGAACCACATGTTCATCTTGTATGCAACAGGCCTCCAGTGACAACTTACCACATACACGGGTTTGTTGAACCTTTAATACCATGATCTCATTGGACATAGTTTTTTTGTTAATGTAATTCATTTGCCTGTTTAATTGACATTGTGTTTGTAAGTGACAGAAAACCCATGTAGCTGTGCTTAAAATACCACGAACTGCTGGTAAAATTAAAAAATATATATCCTTGCTACAAGTTGTTGATTTTTTAAATTTTACATATTGATTACAACTATTACTGTAACATGACTTAAATGTTTCTTTAATAGATTCTCTTGTTAATAAAGGCCATAATTCCAGCAAAATTTAAAACTTTATAATAAGCTTCAAAATTTGGTTACAATGTAAACACAAGCTAAACTATGTATATGTAACTATTTGTTTATACAAATACTTGATTATTGCATATGAAATGAAAAATTTACAGTTGATTTCTTCAAACTAGGGGATATAGTTTTCAACATTCTAAAACTAAGACTTGGGGCAAATAAATGGCATCTAATAAGTTAAAAACCTATTACATTCAAAACCCTAAAGTCTAACTTACTATTAGAGATAATTGTTAACAGTTAGTGTTATATAGCACAGCTACCACACTTGTCTATTAACTCCAAAATTTTGTGACTGTGAGCTCACCACCAAGTCTGCAAGTGAGGGAGACAAATTTGATGATTTGACTTTCAACAAATCTTTCCAGGATAATCTTTCTTAATTCTGAATATACATTTGAACTCTTTGCAATATACATAATCTGAACTGCCCACCAGTATTACCAAATCTGCATTATTTTCCAGACTATGAAGGTGGAAAACCTATACCTCAATCCAAAATCCCACATAAAACACAGCAACTGTTGCACATGTTGTGCAGTAGCAATACAAGAGCCAGTTCCTCTGCTCTATAAAGCTATTTTCTCCATTTTCATGAGTTCTGTTGATACAGATGGCAAAGGAAGATCTAAAAAAGCTTACTTGCCACTATAAGATGACTAAATGTGGTATCTACTGGACACGAACACACTTACTATTTTGTGCAAGAGGAACATAGTCTGGCCAATCCCCTACACTCTGTATCCTTGTGGCCAAACACTACTGAAAGGTGAGTTATTTTGATACAAAGTTGTGTTTTTTTTTTTAGGTTAACAGATTAAGCTCTTCATCAGAGTATATTCTGTTTAGTTCCAACACAAATATCTAAACTGTGACACCTATTTGTAGTCCTACCAACTCCTAAATTTAATCTCATTGACTTGCAGACTGGCTGGTATTCAAACAGAAATCATAGCAAATAACAAAATGCATCAAAGTTACACCTGTACCATCACTGTATTTACTTCATAAACACATGAATATATTATATCTGAAATTCAAAGTACAGAAGTGTTGTTTCAGGATATTTCAAGTATTTCATTCGTGCAGATTAAGCTAGTATTGCCCCTTAAAACTGGGCAAATTTAAATGCTGAGGAAACACTGTTAAACACTTCTTATAACCTTGAAGTTGAGCACAAAACTAAAGTACAATGTCAGAATCTCTGAAAGTACACTTTCAGTCATATATGTTATATGTATAATTAACGTGGCAGGGATAAAGAGATACATAACATAAACTGCTTTAACACCATAACATTACTTAGGAATGATAAAAACATGTAAAAACTGATACACATGCTCTTTATGAGCATCCTCATAGCTTGAATTAAAACCTTTGCAAATTATCTGCAATGTTAATGAGCTATGGGCAATTAATTTTAATTAGTGCCTTCGTTAGTGGTAATTAGACTCATAACAAGATAATTGGTAAAGATTTTTGAATTTTAAAAAATTCAAGCTATGAAAGAGTGTAATATCATCAAGTGTGCTAAATTTCATGCTGATATTGGCTTTAATGGTGAAGTGGAAAAAAGAATGAAAACAAACTAGATTTTTATTTTTCATCACTTACTACAGATTAATTATTAAAGATTTTAAGATAAAAATTAGTTATTTATGTGGAAAAGAGGTTAAACTTTCAATTTAGGCTAAATTTGAAGAAAAAATGTGATTTTTGACATGTTGGGGATGCTTATTAAGGGTCAGTACTACCTTAAGCTCTAAGAGTTTAAGCAGTATACGACTTATTTCAAACAATTCAAGAAGACAAATCTTGGAATTGTAGTAGATGTACATGATTTTGAAGAAAAATATTTGGTCACAATTAGCAAGTATCTTTTTTTTTTGAAGAATCAGTTAATAGAAAAATATCTAACGCCCATCTCTTTAATCTAAATGAACTAAAAATTCGATATACTACCAATTAAACTGGCAGTATTATCTCAATGCTGCTAATCACACAATTTCATTAAAATAAACAAATTTTATAAAAAAAAATATTTCCACGTATGACAAGAGTACATATTTCATGTTGCCAAAAAACAACATTCAAACAAATAAACAATATACAAACAGATAAACATTTTACATACCACACAAGTGAGTTAGTTTTAAAACAAAACATGAAAAGATATCAAATATTTTTTCAGAAAAGAATGAAAAGAAAAAAGTATATTTAGAGAACAAACATAAATTATTAATAAGCCATAAGCCTTTTTTTTTGGCAGAATAAATTATCATCTAGAGTATTTTTTTCTTTTTATGTCCTTTCAGAATGATTCAAATATAGTCAATAACTATAATTAAACTGTGAAAAAAATTATACTTGTTACATCACTCAAAACATTAGATTAATTCAAACATATAGAGTTTAGTATATTTTGTGAAGGTGAAGGATGACATTAATTAGTGGAGAATAACAAAGGGTAGAAGCAACAGCTGCTATAGATTACGATTATTTGTTATAAAATACAATCACTAGAAATACTGATAATGTAGAGCCATAAAACATTTTCAATCATAAAAAAAACACCAGAGAATACCACCACCAACAGATATATATATACCAAAGAAGAGAACAGTAGCAAATCAAAATGAAGAAAATAAGAATTCTTTTATTGAAAAAAAAGTGTTCACTTTAAAAATTTGTTTTATAAATCCAAAGATGTCAGCGGAGAAAACTTCCATGGCTGCTCATATTACAAAATCAATACTTTTCCCACATGGATGTCATTCTCATGTACCATTCTTTGTGTTAGCTTGCACTATTTATTCAGTGCTAGGTGCAGTATGTGTACACAGAATTGTTGCTTAAGTAATTCGGTATATTCCAAGGATCCAATTTATGCAAATTATACTCTTTCACTTTAAACAGTAACTCAACCATTTCAAACAATTCAAGAAAACAAATTTTAGAGTTTCAGTACATGTATATGCTTTTATTGCCAAGTTAATATGTAGACTAATTCCAGAAACCTCTTAATTAAACACACATACACACGATATATGTAATGCCTATACACACACACACACACATGTACTGTAGACACGAAACATTTATTGAACAACTAACGAGGTAAAGTCTTTGCTTTCCAACATTCCTAGGTTCCATATCAGATGTATTATACATGTACAAAATATTTTTTGTGCAATTTCCAATTTTCCTTAGGGCACAAAGAATGAGCAACACAAGAAAAAGAAGCATCATATAATACTATTATAAAATGTTTGTTTAGAAAACTTGCAAACTAAAAACTATTTTGTAAAGCATTAGAGAGGGACAGATTCCTTCTATCTGAATATTTTCTTAGTTACAAATGTTAAAATAGTGAATTGCGAGCTGTTTAAATGCACCAATAAAAGAGACATACCAGGAATATGAGTTACAAATTTTGTGCACGTAAAATATAGTAGGGATAACTAAAATAGTACCTCTTGTATTTCAAGTAAATAGGAATAGAAATATTAAAAAGTGCATAATACTCAAATTATCAGTTCAGAATAAGCTGACAACAAACAGAAAAAAACTAAGTTTTAGATTAATATTAACTCTTGCACAAAACTACTTACATACTAAAGCTAAGTATTAAAAATTAATTTGTTAATCAAATATAATGTTCTTACCTTGTTATTTTAAAGTAGGCAATACTTCATCAATGTCTTGTAGATATTTTATGAAAGATATCAGTAGTCACAATAACTTAGCTACAGTTTTTTAAAACTATTTTCTGAAGATGGATTATTGATCATGAGTGAATAAAACAACATATTTTTACCTCATGAACCTTTCCACTGAACTACTTTATACACATTTGATTTGTGATGCAATGGAAATTCTTAATTTGTAAACAGAATGCTCATATTTACCACCAACTAAAACAATAATGGAATGTGTGCATAACCTCAATTTTTATTTCTTATAATATGTACGTATGCTTGTAATAAAAGAAAGTGGAAAATGCATGGAACTGTGCTATACATTATCTTTGTTGGCGTCACCTTGGTTCAAAGATGCTTTGTTCTACTTTTGTTAATGTTTTATTATATCTTAAGTCTTTCAAGTTATTTGTACAATGTAAATGCTACTTTTTTTTGTTCCAATAAATCTGTACCTACATGGTATGCTACAGAACAGCACTGTATACATGCTTCACAGTGAAAACCCAAAATCTGCAGTTCTTCAACATCCATGGCATAATATACAGGTTTTTATCAACACTCTTCTAGACACATACTGAACAACCCATTTAAAATGTTATGTAACAAACAATATAGTGAACAAAATCCAAAAACTTTTAGTTTGACAAAGAAAAAAAATATTTCTCAACTGAAGTCTGCCCACTGAAAATAATACTGCCTTCATGAACATGAGATACAACTACCAGTTTCTCCTTTTCTTCTCTCAACCAACAGACATCTTTGGATCATTTCTGCTAATACTTTTATCCTCCAAATGCTTAGAAGTTCTTGAAGAGTAATTATAGTGTACAGTAACAAATAATTACCAGTAATTGTATAGTAATTCGAGAGATATCATTATATGCATACAACAGCTAAATGTTTTCACCAAATTTCACTAGCTTGTGAAGATACTAGTATTATTTCTAAATGTGCAAGTATCATTGTAGATGATGCTACTGTAAGTGTTGCTAGGATATAATGTTCACAGACAAACTACAAAAGCCTATTTTCACATACATATGTAAAGTTGTAAACTGTGAGTTTAAAAAATTTGAGAATAGTTATTATGACTGTGTATAAAACTGTGGAAATGTATCACTTAAAATACCCTATTTCAGCTAAAATTCAATTGCTACAGAAAATATATCTAAGTGATGAAAAACTGTGCAGATAGGCTACTATGGTATGAAATTTCATTCAAAATATTTGAGTTACAAGGAAAAGCAATGAGTTGAATTTACTTTGATCACATTAATATTTAATCTCTTAAAAGTTATATAGTGATACTAATACTCAAACATTATATATATATATATATATATATATATATATGCAAATGTAGAACTAAAATCTGAACTAAACAAGCGTTATCTCATTGAAATTAATTTTTCTATATAATATTATATCGCCCTGATCATAGCGTTGTGTGCATTAATTACACTCAGATTAACATTAGCACTGTCTTTGCTGTTTACACCTTTACTACACGGCTTTAGGCAGTTACATAAAACTAGCGATATCACTGATTGTAACATAGTTATCTTGTAAGTTAACTCGTCCTTACTGTCACTGTCAATTTGTCAAGCTATATCATAATATTAACTGGTAATTTTTTATGTTAAGTTTTATATGTTACTGTTAAATTCAACTCCAAGTGGTTACCCCTTCCCCCCTTACAAGTTACACACAAAAAAATTAAAACAATATTGGTAGTCTACACAACCTTACTAAGTATGCTTTAGACTTTAGTAGCTTAATCAACAATAAAGCACAGCTTAACTTACCAAGAAAGAAAAGAGAGCACACCTGCAGCCTACGAATTTCAAATTTAAGTGCGAAACAACCAAGGTCTACAACTATTACTAGCAGTAGCACGACTACATCGCACTTGACAGAGGTAAGTGCTTTGCTGTTCCGGGAGATATCAACACCACGCCGTCTCAAGCAAAATCAGGAAATCGATATATTCTTGGTAACCCAAGTAACTACAAGCCATTTATATTCTTCACATAAAAAATACATTTTAATGACAAACAAATATATTTGTTTGTGAAACATTGGTTTCTTTTAGTTTTAATCAATTTGCCCCCCAATTCCATAAATGGCGGAAATATTTCACCCACCAGCGGACGTAACAGTTTGGGTATTTTAAATGAATCTGGCTTGAAGACTTTCTGCTGATAAGCGCACGCTTGCAGTTGAGCAGCTTATTGTATATAATAAAATCAAACAAGAAGCTGTAATATATCAAAATATTCCTGATATGAATGATTCGAAAAACAAACAACTGAACTCTAGATTTATTTTCGTCACAAATATAGAACGCTGACTGGTGTTGATTCTAATTGGATTTACATGACATAAAATTCTATTGTAAAAAAAAATAGCGAAAAAAATCAGTTAAAAACTAGCATTGCTAAATCAAAAAAAGAATAGTAAAATAACTTTAATTATAGTAATGAATATTTGCTCTTCTGTTATACTTAAAAATTACATCTGCATTTGTATGTTTTGCTGTGAGAAATGCCATTTAAGTACATTTATTAGCTTTACAAAGACTGAGGGCTTATGAAATAATCACCCACGGTGATTATAGTACAGATGGCTCACTGTGGAACTTTGTGCTTAACAATAAGCAAACAAAAACTTTACAAAATTCTTACTATAAAAATATTGAAAATTAAGTGTCGTTTACAATATCGAAGTTTTAATTACTTGTTAGTCATCACCATTACATATGTTGTATTTTATGAAGTCCGAATAGGACATGGTGTCTTCCAGTGGCACAGCAGTATGTCTGCGGACTAACAACGCTAGAAACCTGGTTTCGATACTCGTGGTGAGCAGAACACAGATAGCCCATGATAAGACTGTATCATATAGCTTTTAAGTAGGATGAAAGATACAAACTAAGATAAAGATTTTTATTTTCCTCTATCTCGTCTCCCTCTTTTTGTTCTGAGTAGTGATAAAATAATTTAGTATTGTTGTAAGTAATGCTTTTTGTATCGTGTTTTGATAATACAGCAATTGCTTTTATTTCTTAAATATTTTGACCAGGATTTCTGTTTTGTCACAAAAACAATACAAATCTTGAAACTAAGCTTGTTCCCTCTCACTTTGTGTTCTGATCATAAGTTCTCTCGTAACAATACCAACAGCAAAGAAAGACTTAGCTATGATATCTCGATGAACTTGTTCAAAGTTTCAAGGCCCGGCATGGCCAGGTGGTTAGGGCACTCGACTCGCAATCTGAGGGTCGCGGGTTCGAATCCCCGTCACACCAAACATGCTCGCCCTTTCAGCCGTTCAGGCGTTATAATGTGACATTGAATCCCACTATTCGTTGGTAAAAGAGTAGCCCAAGAGTTGGCGGTGGGTGGTGATGACTAGCTGCCGTCCCTCTAGTCTTACACTGCTAAATTAGGGACGGCTAGCGCAGATAGCCCTCGTGTAGCTTTGTGCAAAATTCATAACAAACAAACAATTTAAACACTCAATGTAGTCTGTGGTTTATATAGAGCCTCGAAATCTACTACATGGATACCTATATAGCTGCGTGCAGGCCGTGGATGTAATCTAATGTTTATATGGCAGGCATGACACATGTACCATAGCGATTATTAACTTATTATTGCAACTGTATTGATGTCATTTGCTTGTCATTTGTTTATATATAGAGTTCCTGCTTTTTCGGACACGATGCTGCCGACAGGATCACAGTTGTCGTTTTTTATCACTGCATGATCGATTTCGGTCATGTTACATAAACGTCTAGGCTGTTTCTCACAACAAAAATCTTTAAGGCGTAATTTAAAAGATAGCACCAAGCTCAGTTTCAAGCATCGGATAGGCAATCACGGTGATGGCTGATGGTAAGTATCTAATTATAGCCAACACTGCATGATTGCGAATTTTATAGATACTGCAGGTAGAGTAGCTATCCTTGAAGCTGACTGTAAGGAGTGGCAAGAATCATGTAAGCAGGAGATGACGATTCTATGCGAAAGTGAGTCAGAAATTTGGTAGTTATATAATTTATTTAGAAAATATTTAGTTTCAGATAATGTACGCAGCAGCAATGGTCCACCAGAGTTTGGGGTCATAGGAGTATCATGACCCAAACTCCATCAGAAATAAAGCGAGGAAAGAAATATAAATGTAATAAATTCATAATTGTTGATTAACACGTTTTCGATCTTGTAGAGTGTGTAGAATGTCGCCACCCAGTGGCACAGTGGTATGACTACGGACTTATACTGCTAGAAACCGGGTTTCGATACCCGTGGTGGGCAGTGCACAGATAGCTCTTTGTGCAGGTTTGTGCTTAATAACAAACAACAACAGAATGTTACTCTAATAGAAAATCTGGCCAGCTACAGCAAAACCGTGACAAGCCTTACTATGGCCAGCGGAGAGGAGGAGGAAGGAGGAAATATAACAACTATAAGAAATGATGAAAATGCTTATTTGTATTTACGTGCTTTTATATTATGACACATTGTCTTATATTTGCATTGAATATATATACATGCTTTTATATTACGACATATTGTCTTATATTTGCATTGAATATATATACATGCTTTTATATTATGACACATTGTCTTATATTTGCATTGAATATATATACATGCTTTTATATTACGACATATTGTCTTATATTTGCATTGAATATATATACATGCATTTATACAACTTGAAAAGTTCACATGGCTATCTATATATATATACTGCTTTAAAACTTTAAAGAACTATAAAGCCTGCATGTATATATATATATATGCATGTATAAAACTCATGCAGTTACAAAATACAGTCCACACATCATTCCAATATAGTTCAGTAGACAGTAAACATGGTAGCTATATATATTTTACAAGTATATACATAATACATGTGGTATATTGATCACCATGCATCATAGTAATCGTACATACAGTTCCATTATCAATGATAACTTTGTGGCAATGCTATCAGGAGAAATAGCCATCCAGTCTGAATGAAGCCAATCCAGATGTTATCATTGTTTCCCAAGAGAGCATCATACATCAATTACGTATTTCATTATATTAAACTCAACTGTTTCAAATAGGACAGTATTACTATTATACAGATTAATGTACATGATGGAAATAAACAAACTAAAGAAACAAGATTATCAATATCTGTTAATTTAAAAAGCGGAATAAAGATCTTCAAAAAATTACAGATACAAGATAAGTGGCTTGAAGTGAAAATGCAATCACTAAAAATTAAACAAACAAGCTTAAGGTTTGAGACATGGTGTTGACATTATTTCCTCAAAGTACACATCCCTATTTTGACTAAGTATTACATCTTTTAGACATGGAGTCGAAATAAAGATTTGCAGCTTGAGAAAGTAATGTCAATACTACGTCTCAAACCTCAAGCCTGTTTGTTTACTTTTTTTTGCGATTGTATTTTCACTTTAAGCTACTTATCTTGTTTCTCTAATTTTTTGAAGATCCCTATTCCCCTTTACAAATGAACAATTTTTAATAATCTTGTACTATTAATTACTGGTATTGCATGTATGACCTCACTGTGCATACAAATTACAATTACTACCTCTAATCGCTTTAACTTATTATGGATAATTAACGGGTTATTATCGGCATAGTTTCTAAATAGATCAATATTAATCTTTTGCTTCTGTCATTGAGAAATTCATCATTATAATTTGCGGTCGAAAAACGACATATTCTTGAACTTTTGTTATTCGTTGTTTCATTACAAACAAAAACATAGATTGATTATAAAACAAATAAGACTCGCAATCTATGGGTTGCGGGATCGAATCCCCGTCACACCGAACATGCTCGCTCTTTCAGCCTGGGGGAGTTATAATGTACCGTCAATTGTTGAGTTCTGCCTTCCTTCTAGTATATCACTACTAAATTAGGGACGGCTAGATATCCCCCATGTAGCTTTGCGCGAAATTCAAAACAAACAAACAGATACTTAAAATGACCATATTTTAAAAACTACTTTTCCTAGGAGAAGGGGGGTATATTTTATGAGAGGCACATTAAAACTTATAAGTCTTATTCAGGGAAATCTTGACATGGTACAGGTTGTTTTAAAAGCTTCCACAGAAGGTATTTATATGCTTTTCGCCATTCTCAATCAGTGTGAGAGACCTATTTTTAAATGAAGTTATCGCAAGCGTCATCTGTGTTGGACAACATTTATTGATCCTCGCTCACCGACATGCATTATATTCCAGTCTCGTATCATTTAAAGAGAGTGAAAGAAAAGGAATAAAAGCAGTGCTGGTGTAATATATCCAGATATGTAAACGTATCCATGGGCGTTCGCAGAAATGTTTACGTGGGGGGGGGGGGGTAGTAGTGTGAAATTGTGAAGTGAATAAAAAGAAATTCATATACATATGCTGAATGAATAAAGAAAGAAGTATGTTTCACACTTTCCGCCACCAGTGGCTCAGCGGCTTGTCTGCGGACTTACAACGCTAGAAACCGGATTTTGATACACATGGTGGGTAGAGCACAGATAGCCCATTGAGTACCTTTGTGCTTAATTACAAACAAACAAACAAACCGCTCCCAGTGGCTCAGCGGCTTGTCTGCGGACTTACAACGCTAGAAACCGGATTTTGATACACATGGTGGGCAGAGCACAGATAGCCTATTGTGTAGCTTTGTGCTTAACTACAAACAAACATATTCTTATTTTACAGGGGGGCAAGTCCCCCCCCCTCGGACGCTTATGAACCTATCCGTAATAAAACGCAGATTTCGGAAATAAATATACTGCAGTAGCAACGGGAACACACGTAAGTATAAGTGAACGTTTAATTATTTTTTCTATGGTACTATGTCTATTTGCCACCGTCCCTAATTTTGAATTGCCCTCCAGAAGGAAGGTAATATTTCGGTAGCACACACCGCGAACTCTTGGGTTACTCTTTGACCATCTAACAGTGGGATTTACCGTCACAGTAAACCACTCTCACGGCTGAGAGGGAAGGAGAACGTTCGGCGCCGGATTTCGAACCCACAACCCACAAAATGTAAGATGAGCAACTTATAACCAAATCATAACAATCGCACAAGTGAAGGAGTGAAACAAATA